TGCGTCAGGAATGCACCATCGCTCAGTGCAGACTGTGGAAATACAATCCAGACCTTGGTCTTTACTCTTTTCCATTCATGTTACAACTTAAAGATGCTCTGTTATTATAGCAAAGCCTGCTGGCATGGATTTTCAAAGATAGCAGTTATCTCTATCTGACTCTGGAGAGATCACGTCAAAAGCTCAAGCCTGGTAGGCACGCCTATGAAAAAACATACCTAGTGTGGTCGAGAACAAAATGCTTAGGAACATGAGGTAAAAACATACTCCTGGATCGACTATTCACTCTAAGTCACTTAACTACCACCAAGTTCCAAAAGATGTAAGTGGAGAGAATTCTTTTTCTTCCATAGAAATTTTGCCTGAGTTTGAGGATTTTGAGTGGTCTAGTCTCCCAACTTGGGGAAATAAGGCTTTCACCATTCCTGGTGAAGTCACTGGGAGAAGCAACTAGTATTTACGCAGAATTATGGTAATATCCATTTTATATAAGTCAGAGTTCCTTATCATAAGCACTTTGTATAGGACTTTTACAATAAAATATTTATTACATTTTACCTTGGCTGCTGCTTTCTTCATCAATTCCAAAGCAAGTTTTGTATTCTTTTTCACACCTTGGCCCTAGGAAATGGATATGTGAAATAATCATTGTTTACAAATACAGAATACAGGCTGATGAAAATTCACATATACACAATCAAAACGCATTTTAACATTGATACTATTATTTACTAGGTGTTATTCAGCTTTAAACAGCTGCAACAAAAAACCCCAGCTTTGTGCTCATCCTTCATTCACAGCTTTACAAAATCTCAATGATTCAGTCTAGGAAAAATGATTTCACCAGTCGATCTGAGTGATTTTTATGGGTAAATAACATCACAGATCTTTACTTTCTGGCAACTAAGGAAGAATAAATAGCATTCGAAGGTGCATAGATTGTTCACGATTTGGTGATGAGTAAGAGCTATCAGCTTTCCTGAAAAAGGATGTCAGAGTGTCTCCAGAGGAAATACACAGATGTCATGCTGATGATGTCCATATCAATTAAATCCAGACATGGTTCAAACAGAGTACGGGTGCTCAAAATTAACACAAGCAAGACTTAAGCAAATGTTTTGTAGAGAATAGCCCTCCACTGTCAAAGGAATGAGATGAAAACCTAATGGTTCTTCACTAACATCTCTAACCTTTAGTACTGTTCTATGTCTTATAGGTGACGCCGCTTAGCTGATATAACTTATTTGACTCAGGTGGGGTTATGCCTGAGTTTAGCCTCTGCTGTCGACTGCTTCCAGCAGGGAAAAACTAACTGCACGCAAAGACTATTTAATTCCTACTCAGAAAAAAAAAAAAAAAGAAAGATTCCCAGAGATCTAACAAAGGGCATTCTAAGAAAGGATCGAACTTTCACCTACATCTCTACACCAAGGCCTATGCCTACTAGCTGGGTAGATTTTTAAAGTGACAAGCCATTAGGAAAAATTAGGATCCACAATTTAGGTAGTATTTTGATCCTGAATCTGGCTAGGAATAAAGTGACTGAACTGCTTTTAAACTTGCTCATTTTAAAATTTTTGTGCATATCTGGTAAAAAATCAACACTAACTTCATAACTATGGAGTGATTTTTAGTGTAAATCTAAAAGCACTCGTATACATTCTCACAATGTGCCACTGTAGATAACTTACAAACATCAATGTCATATGAATGATTTTTTTTTTTAAGTGAAAATATGAAACATGACTTACCTTAAATAACACAATAGCATAATCATATATTAACACTGGATCTTCTGTTTCTATTGCACCCTTTGCATACCATTCTATCGCAGCTTCAGGATTTTTTGCCACTCCTTGTTGGCCCCAAAACAGCATCTGAGCCAATCGTTGCTAAAAGAAAACAGCATAAGCACTATTGTTGTATATGTTAGTATTGAAACTGGAATTACAGGAGCAGACTTTTGCAGGCTTAAATGGATTTTAAATATGTGGATTTTAAACTAGTCATACGTGCCCAACCAATTGAAAACAATTGGTTATCAGGAATATTCAGAGGGCTTCCCAGTGGTGAAATGTACTGATATTAAATGTACAGCAGGGTTACTTTTTACAGCTGTCAGTACCATGAAAGTCTGGCTTGACTTAAGTGCAGAGGTGAGTATTAAAGGCAGATTTGATGCATGCAAATGGCTCAGTATTACAACATATTGCTGCTGGTCTCAGATCAGCAGCAATAACTGCACTGTGTCAATCACAAACCCAGGGAAAATGATCAGAGAAGGAGGTTGCTAGGTCTTGACAACTCTTCCCTTTTGCCTTGTGTTATTGTTATAGCTTTTTGCATGGTCACCGGATATTATCAGCCAGAAACATGGGAAATAGTTCAAGCTTATAAAAAAGAAGAAATTATGGGTGGAAAGAGAAAACATCTGTCCACTTCACTCTCCTCCACAACTTTCTTACATAGTCTATAGATGTACGTACATGATGTGCGTATAAAACCAAGAAAGGGGAAATGTATTACTTTATACCTGTGCAGCTGCATTTCCTCTTGTTGCTTCATGTTTTAACCACATAAAGACATCGCCATTTTCCTTTGTTTGAGCTTTTAGCAGTTCATCATCCATCAGCCTTATAGTTTCAACAAATGCCTGAAAAGTAGGTGAACAGGAAAAAAAATTATTACACAATGAATTCATACACCTGCTACCATAATGAAAATGTTGCCCACATCCTGTTCATCCCTAAGAATTTGTGATCAATTCTGGGGTTTAAAATTCTCACCACCCCTCTGCTGGTCTGTGCATTAAGAACCATCCTTACATCCAGTGTAAAAACCATTTACTGTTTTGTTACAGTACAAAACTGTAAGACCACTCTACACTGGAAAGATACGTGAAGACATCAACAACTGAAAAAAACCCCAACCTTTGTAGTTTTAAATGCAATTAATAAGGGCAAATAAGTGTTTTTAAGTCTTTTAAGGCTGTTAGTTTCTACAGAAATCTCTCTTCAAAGATAAAAAAAAGGCTGGCAGAAAGGTTGATGAAGACCTGTCCTACAGCACTCTTATCTAGGTGGCTGTCTGCTTTTTCTTCAGCAATCAAAATCTCTCTATTTTTTGTACAATAATCATTCTTTCTGATAAGCCAGGATCCTAGTACTGGCCTACCTTAAGTATTCTTTACAGATAAAGTTGTGTTACCTCCTGTTTAGCAATTCATTCTAAAATCATTTTACGGTAATTTTATTTCATCAGATAGCTAGTTAACAGCCAAATCTTTACATTTGATTATAGAAAAGGCTTAAGTATGGAGAGAACAATGAATCTTTTGCGTAAATTTCACGATGCTTGGCTATTGAAACAGCAGATCAGTTGCTTAATAAACACATCCAATTACATTAATAATTAAAAATTTGAGTGAGGAATTAGGGTCCAAGAATAAGACTTAGACTTTACTGAAACATAGGCATGTGGACAATTCTGAGCATTTGAGCCTAACTTGGATTTGGTTCCCCCCTTGCTAAGACGCAGAGTAATGATACCCACATATAATTTGGGGGATTTTGTAACAATCATAGAATTATAGAGTGGTTTGGGTTGGAAGGGACCTTTCAAGATCATTTAGTCCGACACCTCTGCCTTGGGCAGGGACGTCAATCTGATAAACTAATATTTGTAAATCAAAACAGAAATGTTCTGGCCACATAATTAATATATGAAAAGTCATTTGCACAGAAAACAAATTCAGATACACTTATAACTCTTTTACCTGTTCTCCTTTTATAGTGTGCTGATCCAATGATGTCTTGATTGCAATATTACTGTAATAAGCATATGACAGCTCCAAATCAAGTGGATAGTTATTAATGCCTTGGTAATGTTTATAGCCAAGATTCATCACAGCAAGTCTCTCATTACCCTGAGCACCAATCAAACTATAGAGCAGACCCTGGCAAAAGTCAACAGACATAAAGAAGAGTGAATTCACTGCACATCTTGCAAATATAGCGCTTTGGTGGAGATTTACAGGGAACAGAGCGTTCACACTGGCAACTGATATACTACCTATACCATGTAACCATGTAACAGAATCAAGCACAGCCCTAAAGTAATTAAAATGTCTTCTATATACATAGAAAGATTTGAAAAAAAAACTAGACTCTAAATACTTTTCAAGTATTGCACTTATTCTGCCACCCCTAAGTGTGCAGCAATTTTTTAATGTCACTTTATTATAGTGTTAATTATACTCTGACACTTTTTATACTCAGCAGTAACTTAACTAATCTCACTGATGTCAGGTGGAGTCTTTGCACAGAATTCAGCGGAATCATATGGAAGTTAACAAACAGCACTTGAAAGTCTTACCCTAAGGATGTGACAGGACTAGAAGGACAGGACTTGTGGCTGACAAGGTTTCAGTGCAAAGCTCCCTTGAGATACACGTTAATTGGTGCTAGAAATAGTCTAGGTACTGCACATTTGCCAAAACCATTTTCAGCACTACTATTATTTTTCACCTGCACAGTAATAAAACCAGTGGTGTCCCATCTGTGGTGGATACTGAATTATTTCTTGCACTGTCTGAAGTGGATCCAATAACAAAACTACTTAGCCTTCATAATTAGCACTAGGTATACTCCTTAATTAAGGTATAAAAAAGGCTCCTCTCTAAGGTTTCTTGTGTTTGAGAAACTGGAGCTTGGTCTCAGATTGGCCTCTAAGGGGTTCTTCTGATTTAGTATCCTGTAACCACATTAGGCAGATCTGCTATTCTTTATGAGCATTTGATATTACACTATTATATCACAATTAAATACCTGTTGGCAATTTCAGTATAGCCCTCTGCCAGTGATACATAAACACCTCCCCTTCATTTGACCTTGCAACGGAATTGCATGGAAGCATTTCAGTTATGTACAACCTGCCTAAAAAGTCAGGAGTTCACATGCTTGGCAGCTGAGAACTCTTCTACTTTGGTTACCTTTAACCATTTGACCACGATATACTCAGTGCTACGTTTCTTCTGTGAACTGTAAAATGGTTTTTCTTTCCTGACTGTACTATGCAACCTTTCCGCTTCAGGAGATTTGCCTGATGTGAGACTTTTTTCATACCCATCTACAAATGACTGTGGGTGACTCGAGGGTTCTTACCTCATCCTACCTCCTCAGTGACTGGGAAAAGCAGTATGTTCCAGGCTATTCACTTTACCACCATTTTTAGGTCTTACTAAATCATGGATTTCCTTGTTCTGGATGAGCAGGATAAATATTCCCACCATCAGGACTTCATAAAGACTTCACTGCCATCAGGCTATTTAGGAGTAGCTGTATTGGGGAATCCCTTCAACCACAGCCTGGCTCTGGAGGCCATTTCACACTTTTTAATTCAATTGATTATAAATTCATTCCATTTCTAAATTGCCTGTAAAGGTTATTTCACAGGCATAACCAAACCTATTAAATATACTACCTTTGTATGATCCACAGGCACACCAAGCCCTGTTTCAAATATAACTGCAAGGAAATAGGAAGCCTTATGGTGTCCACAACAACTGGAATCCACCAAGAGAGGGACAGAGGAGCCCATATTGCTGAGGCCATCGGCATTGGACAGACCCTTTGCAACCTTCTCAAATATCCTCTGGCCAACTTCTAGAACTGTATCACTTCCATCTTCTAAGACTAAAAATAAAACACAAAACGCACAGTTATTGCAAGAGGTAAAATCAGGAACTGATTTCCTCTCCTTAATTGAATGGGACTGAGACAGAGTCTGTTATTTCTCATGCTGAATGGTATTCTCAATGCAGACAACCAAAATTCCTAGAGATACAAGGTACTACTGAATAGGAAGGGTGAATAAAAATCCGAAAGATCATCTCAAAGTAACTAACCTCTAAAAATGTAAGGATATCTCTATTTCCTTCTACATAATAAGCCATCCTTCATCTGCAGCACAACATATAAGCCACATGACACTCCTTTACTAAGCTAGCATATATGCTAACCTATAAAACATTAAGTCAAAGCATACTAACTTAGTGACATATATTGTGGAGTTATTTAAGAACAATAAATTAAAATGTGATTACCATCTGGAGCACTGAAATCCATCTCTTGTAACAGTTTGAACAAAGTGTGGTACTTTTCCCTGAGCTCTTTTCCCCACATGAAGGCATCACATTTGGATTTTTCTCCGAATTTGTGAATCTGCTCCAAATAATAGTTTTCATAGTAACCTAGAGAAAACAACGTATTTAAGACATGAAAGCTGACTTGGCTGGTCTTTAAAACAAGCTTCTGGTAGAAGAAAAGATGTTTCTAGGGTAAACTAAAAATTCACAGACAAGATGGGCAGATCCTTAACACAAAGTAGTGCTAAAAACTTACACAGCTAGCACAGGCCACTTACAAAAATACGTAAGATTTCTTTGACTCTTTTCCATACTCTGGTCATGATGCACGCAACCAAATTCTATTTGGAACCATAAGCTAGTTTTCAGCACACATTTAAGCTACGTTACTCTTCTTTCCCTGAAGTGGTTGCTTTGATATAAACTTGTTAGTAACTGCACATTAGGCAACTGTGGCAGTGCCATTCTAGCAAAACCCACCCATTTTTTGGAAAGGGCTTAAAATACATGCGCCTTTAGGGTCATTTGCAAATGAAATATAAGAAAGGCAACTGAATAGCTTACATGTATGCTTGAAAGTGTTTGTCCCTTTATGCACATGTCTTATTAGATAAGAAATACCAAGAACATGATTTAAGTTTGTATTCCATGGCACAAAAATCATTGCAGGGACAAAACCACAGTTTTAGCTACCAGTATCAAGGCTAAATTCTTCAAATTGCCTTTTTTCTTGTTATGGTTGAATTTAAGTTTACTTTTAATGATCGTTATCCAGATTCTAGTAAAAGGAAAGGGAACGGGTCTTCAAAGATGGCAATTTAAAATTCGTATCTCATAGATCAACACTTACAATTTCTTTGCGCTTTTTCACCTTGCCTTACAATATATCTGTACTCATAAACTATTTCTTGAACGTCCATGCATCTCTCATAGTACAGTTCAATTTGTTCCACTGCTGCTTTGTCATGAAGAGGGTTAGAAATCTATAAAAAGGCAAATGATGGATAAATGGCATGTTGCTGTCTATGCTTGGCTAGAAAGAAGTGTTGTAGGCAAATAACAAAAGGAAACAGATGGTTTACTACAATCAGCTTATCTGGCACATCATGATAACATGATGCTGGCCACAATAGACTATGACTTTACATACTCAGCATAATCCAGGACACCATGGAGGAACTTCCGAAATTGACCAAGCTGATGTGATTTTTACCACCGATTTCAACAAAACCATAAATTAATCAAATGTGTTCAACACTGTATCATCAAAAACTCTGGGAAACAAAGCAGTACTGAAAATAAGTCCTTACTTAAATATAGATTTAGGAACATTGCTTTACATACTTTCAGAAGTCTTATCTTTTAGTATTTGAAGTGGTAACTAGCACTGCCAGATTTCAATAGAAAATTATCGTATTTTGGTTATATATTCCCAAGTTCTATTATGCTTCATAGCAAGTTTATCATTTGGTAAGAGCTTCAGTTAAAAAAAATATAAATAGCCATAGCTGGCTGCTAATATTTAAACATTTCCAAATACTGCTTTTGTTTACCTGTTCTGTTTCCAACACATTGAGACGATAGTATTTCACAGGTCCAAAGAATGCTTCAATACCATTTACATATCCACTGCCTCCAAGAACAAAGTATCCAGCAGTGTCATCATAATAGAAATCTTCCCTAAAACTTGAGAACATGAAAGAGAAGTGAACTGGCTATCAAGAGGTACTATGAAAGAAAAAAGTAAATAAATTTATATCTCAGAATTTCCATACCTGACAGCCTTAAACTCATTGCCAGTATAATTCTCTTTTCGCATCGGTTTACTCTCAAAATCTACTCTGTAATTTAGTGTGATAAATTCTGGAGTAAGTTTAACAAATCCCTTGTTTACAAACATATTAAACCAGCAGGGCGTTTTATTTTTCTGACCTGCAGTTATCTTCTGGTGTTTTATGCATCATTACACAGCCTCAAAGATTTCAGTTCTACCTCTCCCTTGCACTTTTCTAAATTTGGCATAGGAAAATTTAAGTTATCTGTCTCCTAGAGTTACTATCTACAAATTTACGATTTCTAGTTTGTAAACCACGTAAAGAAGGAACAACATTAACGTCTGACATGCAACTTACTGTTACATAGTTTCCGTATTAAAAGGTTTGGGGATTTTTTATTTATTTGCACAAGAAAGAGTCAATCTTGAATTGCAGTGAAAACAATGAAAAAAACATTTTAAAAAAAATTATTCAGTTGCTTAGAATAAACGATAGAGCAAAAACATTTTTGGTAGAAATTTTGCATCCAATCAGTTTTTAGTGAGGGTTGTCAGACTCTAGTACTAGATCATGCAGCATGTTAACTCAACTAGCTCATGGCATTAACAAAATTATTCAGCTTATGCTCAAAATTATTCAGCTAAGCACAGTAATGCAAACTGGTTTTGAAAGCATAGAGTGGAAAAAGACCACAGACATTTTGAAAATCATTTGGAATCTAAGTTACAAACTTGTGCTATCCTTTTCCCATTTTCCATATCTGAACACATACACACATATTACTCATGGTAAAAATGCTGCTTACGTAAAAGACTGATGATGATGTCTTCTCATGTTCTTCCCAACACTGCTTACTTCTATCTAAAAGAACAAAAAATATTAATTATAATAAATTAAATACTACAAGGTACATTTATTAAGCCGTTTCAACCCATAGTTCAGAAGATTACAGCTGCAGCTTGTTGCATTTCCTCTGCACTATAGACAATGGTGTCACATATCCAACATATGTCAGAAGAGTTTAATGGACAGCATTGGCATTGCTCTGTCCTGGCAAACCAGGAGCAAAGAAAACCAGCACAGATGTTGCCTACTTCAGCTACTTCATTCCTGTGTCCAGTTACAAGACATCTGTACTTTGCTGAAGCTTTTATTCTTCCAAAGTGTGAAAGGCTGCTTTGCTTTTATATAGCAGAGATGCTAAAGGAAGATAATATTGATCTCCTCAAGAAATTGTAGCTCACAGGTGAAGAACAGCCATAAAGGTAATGGAACAGGCCATGATTTAAAAAAATCCTGGGTTCAACTCCTACTTCTACAGGAGATGTACTTTCAGTAGACTTTCAGTGCCAGAATGGGTAAAGGAATTCAGATGCCTGAGAAGGAAGACAAGATAAGATTTTCATACATGTTGGTATTGTAAAAAGTTGCCCAAGGACTCACAAAACAACCCTGCCAAATTTTCTCAAGTGACTACGTATTTTTAAGAGCATCTTCAGATGCTCTTAAAATCTGGCTCTTAATTTCTCAATGCTTCAATTTCCCAACCTTCCCTAATTTATGTATTTTGTCTCAGATCATGCTGGACTAAATGTATCTAAATCAATGGAAGTGAAATAATCATAGAATCATCTACGTTGGAAAATACCTTTAAGATCACCAAGTCCAACTGTTAACCTAGCACTGCCAAGTCCACCACTAAACCATGTCCCTAAGCACCACATCTACAGGTCTTTAAAATCCCTCCGGGGATGGGGACTCAACCACTTCCCTGGGCAGCCTCTTCCAGTGCTTGACAACTCTTTTGGTGAAGAAATTTTTCCTAATATCCAATCTAAACCTCCCCTGGCACAACTTGAGGTCATTTCCTCTTGTCCTATCACTTGTTACTTGGGAGAAGAGACCAACACCCACCTCGCTACAACCTCCTTTTGGGTAGTTGTAGAGAGCAAGAAGGTCTCCCCTCAGCCTCCTTTTCTCCAGGCTGAACAACCCCAGTTCCTCATACGATGAAGTGCCTAAATAAGGAGATTCTTTTGTACCTTTTGAGGATAGTAGCATCTAAAAACTTACGACAGGGAGACATGTCAATAAGATGGAACTGAACCACAGTTTTATCTGTTCTAGAGAATGGCTCTAAGTACTGAAATGTTCTTAAGTTGGGTCCTACTTCCTTTTTTTTCCCCAAGAGTGCTTATTAAACTCTTCATGGCTCCCTTATTTTGTCCAGAAGTGGAAATTTAACGACCATAGGTTTTATCTCACACCTGAATAAATTCACTCTGCTCTCTGATGGAAGAATATCTTTTCTTAATCCATTCGTACAAGCAATCCTCAAATTTCCAACAAGTCAAGACTAATATACCCTATGTCAATATTGACAGTAACTGTCACATGTGCATCTGAAGCTGAGCTTCAAAATTCACAGGCTCTTCCCTTTCCCATGAATTTAAATTATAACAACAATTTTAAAAAGCAGGAAAAGACAGTTCTCATTCTATAAAACACTTTTTTCACTGTTCCTTTTAACAATATATTTAACAACATATTATATTAAAAGTAAATATATGTTTCTACCTGATTTTCTAGTGAAGCAATCAATCTGCTCATCACTTACACACTTAAAAAAAGGTGGGGTGCAAAAGGAACAGCTGTAGTTTAGCCTGTACACTGCTCTCTCACTACAGCATTGTTTCAGCTTTATCAGTCATTTACCTCATACTTTAAATTTGCTTAGTTGTTCTTGTCATTAACTAGCAATTATTTTTTACAATTCAGAATGTAATCTATTCAACCATTTTCAAGGCAAAAGAAGTTGTGAAATAGAAGGTTTTTGATTATCTTCACACCCTAATATCTTAATAGCTGGAGATTCAGACAAGAAGTTGGGCTGGGAATCTGTGTTTTCAGAGCTACTTTTGGAAGGTTTTGTGAAAAAACAATTGTGATTTGTTAAAATGCAAATTATGTATTTTATCCACTATAGAGGGATACTGCAATATTTTTTTGTCTTTTAATGGTGGTCAATCTCATGCCACTTTGTCAAATCTGCAAAACTTGGAAACTGCACATGCCTCCTGTTAGCTAATACATCTAGGCAAGAGGCATGCTACTGTACAGAAGCTCAGACACTTACATTTTCATATCAGAATGGTAAAAACGCCTAAGCCTCCAAGTGCAAAGTCCCTCAGAGCTATTCACACCATGTAATTTAAAGTATCTGGATAAGATATCTAGGCCAGGAGTCCTGGTTGCCTGTAGTCAGCAGTCTCGGGAGAGCAACTGTGTGCCAAGATAGCCACTGAACAGACAGTAATTCTAGGCTCTTATCTTAAGCATCTAAGTTGATTTACCAAAGTTGGATGGTCAGAACATCCCCGGACAATTTCTAGTGTGAGAGTTTTCATTCTTGTGCTACGTCAGCATGTACAAATTACAGTATTTCTCTCAGCCTCAGCTACTACAGGGTTTGTCAGAAGCATAATAAAATTAGAAAAATCTCAGCCTTGATCCTGTAATTCAGTAGCACACATACCTGTCCACCCTTGAAAGACAGATCCAGTCGAAACCACTGCTTCAGAGGAAGGCTGAAGCTAGTTTTCACTGCAAGGTCATCTCCTCTCATGAGGTGCATCTGAACATGCACATAACCTGACAAAGCAACAAAGGAAGAAAAAGGAAATAAACACCACAGAAATATCAACATTAAGAATGAGCTTCTGTAATGTATTATTCACAGTGATACTGTCTTCTTCATCACCAACAGAGATCTGGGCACTCGCTAAGCCATACATCAGCTCTCACAGAATCCCAGGGAAACGTGCTCCCCATTTCAGTTACACATCTCAGATGCTAATGCCCAGACTCCCACATGAAACCACAGACTCAAAACCAACTGTTTGAGGGATAAACACAGGCTAAACCTAAGGCAAACAGGCAGTGTGCCACAGTTGATCTCAAACACCAAAAAGCAGACGTGACTTGCAGCAAGCAGCAGAGAGGAACAGCAGACAATGGTACCTACTCACTACTCAACTGCTAGCACAGAAGAGTGCAATGATCAAGTACAAGATGACTCTGCTCTCCACTACTTGGACCTGCAGAAGCTAGACTCATGGTCTGAGCTCTTAAGACCAGTACAGGCTATTATGATAACCTAGTCTAACACTGAGAATAAAACTGGTCCTAAAACCTCTCCAAGCAAATCTCCTATCAAGCTGATGACTTCCAGCTGAGCTGCTATTTTTGTTTGTTCTTCAAAGAAAAGCACTCAGTTTATAATAAATTGGTTACAAGACAGCAAAAATAGGAATAGCAAAAATAACAAACAGGAAAAAAGTAGTTGTTAAACTTGCCAAGAAGGGGAAAGAATGTAATGTCTTATGAGAAAGCCAGGTGTGTCCTTTTAAAACTCTACACACTTACTTCCTCTGTGAGCCTGCCAGCCAGCCCCCAGCTGCTGAATTTCTTTCTCTATCAGAGGCTGAAGAGCTGTCTTCTGGCAGGAATGTTCCTCTACTGCAAGTGCTGCTAAACTAAGAGAGTGCTACCTCTCAACCTTTTTTGGATCAGGGAAATAGACTGTGCTTCTTGAACACTGCAATATAGGCAAGACCTTGAAATCACATGGACTTTTTCTGAGGCTATTTCAAATTTTCATGTAGTATGTATATAAGAATTGAGAACAGTATCAAAATAATACTTCAGTAATAATAAAAAAGGTTGTTCATTGAGATAAGACTGTTTAATCCCAGTGAATGTTCCTGACCTGTAAGATTCAGTCTATTCTGACGAAGCAGATATTTAAGTTAGCCAAGACTTGAAGCTATGCAACTATTTCTCCGTTTTACCCTAGTAGTTACTTTCCTATTGAGACACTACAGTCAAAAGGAGGCATTTTGCAAGGGATCAATTTCACAAAATAGGTCTGATGATATATTTATAAATGTTAGTCCTAGGCATAGGTCTATAAAGACTATATTAGAGCCCTTCTGAAGGCCAGTAATAATATCCCTTACCTTCTTCATTTAGAAATACAGCAGGAGTACTATACATTTCTTTCGGATCAATAAAATAGAGTATACCACACAGATCCTTTTCACAGTGATGGAGTAAATATAGCCAGATTGAAATGGTGAACCTGCATGAGCAAAAATAAACAAAAAATTCACTCCTGATGAGAAATCTCCCTATATAATTTGAAAAGCATGCATTTCACTTTAATTTAGCAAACCTGTTGCACACATGTAATCTTTAGAACAGAACACGTCCTCTGCAGTGAAAACCTTCAGAGCAACAGCACTTCAGACTCTTGGATCTGTGATCTCCTTTTAACTGCACTTTTGTGGTACTGACATGAGAGGAGAGGAAGGGGGTATTATCTGAATCAACTCCGGAATGCTGGGTCAGAGCTACTGCCAGATCCCACATCAACAGGGAACTGAAAAGACAACTGAGACAACTTGGAGCCAATCTCCCACATGCAGGCCACAGGACAAAATCCCCAAATGCGCGGTCTTGTAACCTCGATTGTGGAAGCCAGTAAAAATTAAATGCAAACTGTGAAAATGTGCTTGGGAGAAGCAGTTAAAAATGAATCCAGCCTCCAGGTAGCACAGATATGTATGAATAGCTCTCACAGAGCTATCACAGGATAAATAAAGGTGGAGTCTGTGCAAACTATGGAGCAGTGCAAAATAAAAACCCAAAGACCTGACAATGCTATCTACTAAGAAATTTCTGTACAAAGCTGGCTGAGGCACTAAAAGCAGAATTTATACCGCAGTATCTAATTCTAAGGAGTTCCGCTGAGCCAGACTAAATCTGCTTCTGTGCTGTTACAAGGAACTTGACCACTTATTTCCATAACATTTCCACAGCTGAATGCCTTTGAAAACTGCACGTCCAACGTACAACCCAGCAAAGCATTAAGGTTATCATCATCTCTGATAAACAAGTTCTCTTTTCTTAGAGAATTTTAGAAGGACATATTATTCGGTTTGTGTCTTTCTATAATTAAGAAAAAAATGAAATATTTGTTTATAATATTTTAGAATTGGGTCAGCTTGCCTTGTTTCTCTCTCAAGAAGTTGCTAAACATACAGTACCTTGTATCTTTTCCTAAACCAATGGAGGTTTGAAAGCCTAACACCTGCTCTCCTGCTTAAAAAAAAAATATAAAAAAATGCAAGTGGTGAAGTTTTCCCCAACAGAGTCTACACCTTAAACACCTAATAATACCGTATCTTCCACAGGTGGTACCTGGATGAGGCAGAAGGGTTTGTAAATCACAATCACTTGTAAATTGATCATGATGACCTACAGCCAAACCCCCTGCTTCCAGAAATACTGCTTATGCTTATATATCACTCTCTTCATTTTTCATTTCTGGCAATATAACAAACTTAGAAGCTGCAGTCTCCATTTAATCCTTGATTGCCAGTCTGAGCACATAACTGTTCTGGACAAATTCCTTGGGACAGAGTTTGGGACAATGCTGACTCATTTCACGTCCCCCATTGCTGCAGAATGCCATACAGCATGAGTATTCCCTTACAGTCCCAGCCTATCCTTGCTGCAGGCTGTCCACAGCCTCAAATGACAGTTGTCTATCTCCAGTCCTCTTTCTTTACAAATCCCCGACTGATGTCAAACGAGTAACTTCAGTTAGATCTGTTTCTGTAGGGAACCACTGCTCACATACGGGGAGCTGAAGGAAAACTCTCTTCCTCTTCTTAACAGTTATCCCAGGCTGTCATGAAACTGCAACACACAGGCGATGTTTTATGTTAACACTGGAGATACCGTCTGAAGGCAAGAGGGTGGAACTGTGTGGAACAGGTAGAGTGCTGCATAATTTCATGCCATATATTCTCAACTCAGTGTCAGAAGCAGAATGCAACCGTGCTGGTGGGCAAAGGGCAGCAGGCTGTACAGACCAGGCTGTCACCTGTCCTGAAGAGGCCAGGAGCTAAAAATTGCTCTCTACTTATGACTTCAGAGTTTGAGGGCTAGTAATTTGCATGCAACCTACATTAAATGGCAAGTGTTCTTTGGTACTTTTCTTGTGGTCACAGGCCAAACACAAACCAGCAGGCAAATTCCATTTTCTGCGATCATTTCCTACTTCTGTAGTAATGTTATTGGGGTAACAGCATCTGGTGGAAGGGAGATAAATTTATGTATCTCTATACTTTTTCCTCTAAAGTTGCAAAATATGACTGAAGAGTTGTGACAGTTTCAGGAAGGGGGGAGAAGAGTAGAAAAACATGATCTTCCCAGAGTTATTCCTCTGTAACTGAATGCAATGCAGGGGCTAATGGGTTTTAATCCTCTCCAACCAGGAGTTTACACAGGGATGGTAAAAGGAAATAGTATAAGCTCAAGCTGGGAGACTATCTAGGCAGGGGACTCTATCACTGAGGGTTTGTCAGCTGCAAAATAAACTAGAGCGTGAATTTATAGGGAAAAAGCTGCTCCACACTGCTGGCCCTTGCAAGAAACCCTACTCTGCATTTGGTCTGCAAATGATGCTTGAAATGCAGATCTCTCTGTAATGCAGAAAACCTCAAGCCAGCTAGTCCTAAGACAGCAGTCTGATAATGACAGCACGTAACAGCTAACTTACCCTCCTAACTGTACCTAACTAGCACAGTTACACCTAATATTGGTCTTTTACCCAGCACTGCACTAACACATACTATAAGCATCTTTCCCAGGTTCAGCTTAATCCCCTCCAAAACTGAAATTAGACAACAGAAGGAATTGCTAACTAGTTTCCTTTTGAGACTTATCTCAACTTAGCAGGCAGTATTGCTTTAATTTGTGGTATAGCCTAAGAGTTTAAGTATATTCTATAGCCTTCAATAATCAATTACAGCCTCCTTCAATTATTTGCCTATACTTACATGGGATAATCAATCTGATGTTGTCTGACTGTCTCAAGTTCTCTGTTTTCAAATTGTTCAAATTTCTTCACGATTCCTGTTTTCTCCCCACTGGAAGCATATATGAAGTTGAGAATCTGGACACCATCTGCAAAATACAATCTTTCTTAATCTGCCAGAAAACAAACATTGATAACTAATTAATAGTTCACAGTTGTACAAACATTTGAATCACATGACAGATTAAAAATCAACACAAATCTTCAATAAGTCCTTAAATACAAGTTCGTCCGCCGTTATTAAGCACATTAACATCTCGGACCAAATAATCCACGGGAAAGTGAAATGTAGTCCACTTCCAGCTGGTATTAGAAGCAGAGAGAGACTCATTTAAATCTAAGATACTTAAAGGACCAGTTAGTAAGGAAGAAATCTTCATTTATGTTATTCGTTTAAAACTCATCCTATCTTTGGTTATGCCTACATGAGATTACTCCACAGCTCTTAGACTTGCTCTCCATTTTCAACTCTCCAGTTTATACTGTATTTACAGATAGATACTAATTCTGTTCTTAACTGATACGCATAATCTTGTAATAAATCTGATAATGCTGTCCCTGCTAAAAAACAGGAAAAATATCTTCAAGGCCATTACATATCATCAGCTTTCCTAGAAAAGCCCCCAAAACAACAACAAAAAACCACCCAAACCCCAAGCAATTTGTTACAAGGTTATTTTAAAAAATAAATTTGAATAAAATGTTATTTCCTCCTATTTCTTGTTATACAGTTTTCATCTATAGTATAATTAGATAACGCATAAGATGATTCACAGCGTTGTCAGAGATCACATGCTCTGTCTCCAACAAGTATTTCAGAAAGCCCCCGACAGCAGCAACATCATTGCTTCCCTGTTCGTCTTCAGTGCATTTACGTGCTGAGGTAGTGAAAATAAATTACACAAATACCATTATGGGATTTTCTAGGACAGAATCCTTTAGAAGCAAATCACTTTTTTGCTTTTAGGTTCTGCTTTGAGTATATATTGAGGACAGAAAGAATTGTCAGCAAGTGCAAAGCCAGAGACAGGCAGACAGAAAAAAACTCCAGAACTCTGAGAAAATCTAGAAAGCAGAGTTGTGAGTTTCAGTAATTTATACAGTTGGGCAAGACATTTCTGTTTTAAAAATTAATACTTTTAAATAAAAAAGTGCTTGTCTATAATGACTCTGGGCCAAAAAAAAAAAAAAAAGTACTATATAGTTTATTGCACTATAAAGACTTAAAAACAGGTTTCTGAGTGTGTGGCCATCATCTTAAGCAGAAGTAGACTACCTGTGTGCAAATTATGTATGTAAGAACTGCAGGACTGACCCTGAAATAATGCAATAAGGGACTGAACAACTATCTCTGAAGACAAAGGAATGACGTCCATTGACATCAGTGGGTTTTAAATAAAGTTGTTTGAATACACTTAGAAAATACAAGGCCATGCTGCTACAAATCTCCGGGCTGGCTGTGATGAAACAAGACAGCTCTGAAGGACATGATGACTTCAGTCATTTGCAACTCCAACCCCACAGTTATGAAGCTTACATATTCAACAATGTTGGCCAAGTAAATCATTCTACATAACATTACTATTTGCTACAGTTACACACTTTCTAACAGCCTACGAGAGATGTTATTTGTGTCCCATTAGTTTCTTTGGGAAAAAAAGTGACATTACACCTACCACTTTCATGAGGGCACTGAGGTATCCTGTTTGCCTGGAGCATCCACAAATAGTCAGTACCCCACTGAAGACAAATTTTGTGGTCCTTATATGGGCGTTCAAAAGGTGGAACTGCTTCTAAAAAAGTGTAATTCTTGGCAACTGCATCCTGGTAGTCTTCACTCTGCTCAACATCATAGCTGCTAACTGATTTGTGACTAATCCACGCATATAATATCACACTGTGCACTATTATTGAGTTTCTGATGATATAATCATCTCTGTAAACCATGATGCTTGGAAATTTCAAATGTACTTGTCGAGTTCTGTTAACATAAAGGTTTTTCTCATCCTTCCATCTCCTTCTATAGACTGGTACACCAGTCCTGAATTCGGAGGAAGCTACTGCTTCTATGTTGACGATACAAGGCTTAGAACATAAATACTGAACTGAAACTTCAGAATTGTTAAGAACTTTCTTTTCTAAAATGTTTAAATGAATGAAGTCTACAGAATCCATGTTTTGTTCAAACTGTGGAGTAACTGCCGTTGTCCGTAATGTCTCCTTTCCAAAGGATGGCACAAAATTCTGGAAAAAAACCCAAAACCACAAAACATGTTAACTAGAAAATTTAAGTTTAAGTGATTACTACTGTACTCACAGCAATAACAGAACACTGCACAAGCAGAAGGTTTATATACCATACTCAAACTCTGAAATACTTGGATTCTTTCACACAGCAAGTAAATGTGGATTACTGAAGAGCCACCATCAAGGTTTTAATGGTAACGACTCCCCTACATTAATCAATTTCTCAAAGTTACACATGCGTCTACAAACAAACTGTATTTACAGGGTGTATCCTTCAGCCCTTCCGCAAGTGGAATCCGGTCTAAGATACTGACTTACACGTCATGCTATTTACACATGCTCCTAGGATCAGGCCTAAAGAGTACATAGGAAAATGTACCAGTATTTATTCATGATGTTGCTGTTCACTTGTGCTGCCACATCCTGATGTTTCTCTATCTTTTTAAAGTTAGCTAAGGTTGTTACCTCTTATGCAGGTACCTGAAGAGCAGAATAACAACTAAGGCAGCTCACAATGGTTTCCTGAGAATGAATTCCTGTTCACCAAATGTTTAGGAGCTTATTACAGAAACATTCCTGTCCTGAAGACAGACTTCAAAATCTGAGCAGCAAGACCAGCAGGCAGCATTTGCTTAGTTTTTGCTCTCCATAGCTACGCACATTAGCATGTGCTTCAAGAGTGAGTGCTTGGGCATACAACAGGATTATGTTCCATGCTGAAGTTCTTGTCTCTAAGGTTTCAAACAGCTGCTTTTCTTTCTGCTCCGCAGTCAGTGTCCAGCTTGATGCACTGCCAAGGATACTGAGGATTACTCAGCTCAGAGGGCCAGCCACCAGCATGGCACTTCTGCCAGGTCCCCTGATCCGTCTAAAATATTCAGAATTGTCACTTAGGATTACCAGGGAAGCTGGTCATTAAGATTGCTTAAAATGAGAAGATCTGTCTTGGGTGACTTTTAACTTTGCTAAGCTTAAACAAATTGAACTGAAATTTATCTTGGATATCTACCTTGGATTGATGGCTTTTTCACTGTCATTCCCAAAATATTTAAAAGCTTTGGCCAACTCGTTAGTGCACTTCTAATTACCGGAATTCTGTGTCGTTCATTTGGAGGACAAGACCTTGTCCATGATCCGACATCAGAATCAGTAAAAGTCCCTAATGATAAACTATGCTTTTTATTTCTTAAGAATATGTTGACATGCCTTGAGAGCTACACTGAAAAAACATCAAGCCAGCAAAACCTGTGAATGTTTAAATATTACGAAAAGTCACAACTAAGTTTACCTATAGTATTTCCTTGCTCCTATAGATGAGAATTTTGGATTTAACTATGTGGTCAAATGCTGTTTCCTCCCCCTGGATCCCTATCTCCTTAAGGGCACAAAAGAGCTCAAGGGTTGCAAGTGGAACACAACTGTGCAGAAAGATTATTTACTCCAAGACGTTGACTTTATTTAAGGCAGAAGCGGGAAGACATAATTGAATGAGGGAACTTTTGGATGAGAAAGCTGGATATTGCTAGCAGCTGGGTATCTCTAGATAACTAGATTTATTTAGTGTTCCTAGGTCTTTCTGAACTTGTGACTTAAACCACTTTCCACAAGAACAACCACGTACTGTTTATCTTCTTGTGTCCAACAAGATACACTGGAAGCCAGATGTGCAGTCATGCTGAACACTGATAAACACATGTGTAAGCACCTAGATATACACTTTGAACAAATAAAATGCTATAAAATGCAAAACACTCCACAATGTCCACTCCACAATCTAGGCTTTCTACAATAGGTAGTCTCTTGAGAGCGACAGCCTTCCTCTCTGCCTCATTTCCCATGCTATAAACTGGATAATGTAACAATGACGCGTACTGAAGGGCCTAAAAAAGGAACAGCAATAGGAAGGTGATGTCCATTGAAAAAGTTACCACCATATCGTGTAATAACATACATGCACAAACACTCATATAACAGTTGATGAGAGAACCTTAATTTTAGTACTAATTTGAGTATCTTTCAGAGCTTGACTTGACAAAGATACTATTCTTTTACACCTCCTACATAATTCTTCTTTGGTTATAGGAACCTCCAAAAACATTAAAAGCATGTAGCAGCAACCACAAATTATTCTAAACCTCTTCTACTTGATGATTATCATTCATATTTCTTACGTATTTTTTTATCTTACAACAAAGAGCCCTTCTAAACAGCTTAATCCTTGTGATATGAGGGCTGTGTCATGAGGAAGATGGTAATATATTATGAAAGTTATGCCATGTCATTATCACAAAATGTAGAAGTCTACCAGGTAGACACTACAAAGCATTGTGGTATCACTGTGTGTTTACCACGTACACACATTTACTGTCAAAACACACACAGCCAGCTCCCAATTTTCTCAGGGGTTTATCCAACACAGAGATATGGGAGCTGACCAAGACAGCTTGGGTCTGGCACAGTTCGTTACCAAAGATGCAGTAGCGTATGAATGTGGCCACCCAGCTTCCAGTGAATGGCAGAAGTTTTGTGGTGAGCATCCCAAGACAGCAACCCAAAGCCAGTTCCTTGTAGGACAAACTCCATGATATCCCTAGAGCACTTAAGCACAATGTACCGTGACTGCTGATGCGTAAGGGTAGCTTCACCCATGCTGCCTTACTGCCTCTGCCTTAGTGCCTGTTCGGCTAAACAGCTCCCACAGAGTTACTCAAGAAACTCTTCTTTGTGTTCTTTGGTGCCTGGGTATTAGTTGAGACACGTGCTGCAAAAACGCATGAAGCACGTTTCGGTCTGCTGCTACACCACCCCTAACAAACCCTTCAGGAGGCTCATCCAGAAAGGAGTGCGGTGCAAAGATCCTTGAGCAACCCCACGCCGATGCAGCCGTGGCAGAGACCACTGAACAGTAAACTCTTCCAGAGCACGACTGAGTCTCTTACCACTTGGTTGCTTCTACACAGTGCTCTCTGGCACACTGCATAGCGTGTGTATTATCTAAATGTTTCCACTTGGTGAGGAACCATAGTTCTTCCCTCCCCGTTATCTCAGACAAGGCAGAGTTAATTGTGCATAGTCTCTGACTACAGAGAGCATGGATGAAAGGATTACACAATGAGTGTGATTATGAGATTTAAATATAAAAGTTTCCCAGTATAGTAAAGAGGCCAGCTATACTGGATTCAAAATGTTACCATAAAGGAGGCAGAGTTCATCAAGATAGAGGTTTTGTTGTGTGGGGCAACTTAGCCACAAAAACTTGATCTTTTCCTTAAAACCTGCTGAATGCGAAGGAGTTAGCCCAAGTCATGCCATCAGATGTTGGGATAAAAATCACTGTGGGAGACAATCGCAACAATTGGTAGGAAAGTGAAAATTTTCAGCAGCGTAGTATTAGAGAAATGATGAGAAACTGTTCTTTCACCTACTGGAACAAGATCTCAGCAGGACCCTTGCCGAGTTTACCTCTGCAGAAATTCCACATAACCCTATGAAACTGCACCTGTTTGCACAAAGTCTGAAGATAACCGTCGTCCTTTACCTGTGAATGCCTGCCACGTCATGCTAGATTTTAAGATGTGTGAAAAGGAGGCACGCCAAAATGTGCATCGATCTGCTCCCAATCAGCATCAATATTGTACAGGCATACAAAGATTTAAACAGAGTTTGTGCTTTCTGCTTAGCAGCATAGAAGAAGAAACAGCACTTCATCAGATGCCCCTAAAATGCAGTTGTTTCCATAAGCCACTGCAGCACCATAGTCACACATGCATCTACAAGTGGATGTCAAAGGCAGCCCCCTTCTTCCAAACCCAGAAATTTAACGTCATCTAGGTCGGAAAGCTTGATCTAAGGACCTGACGTTCGCTGGCTCGAGAAGGCAGCGTAACCCCGGGGGTTGGAGAGAGGGCAGC